TCAAATAAACAATCACAATTCTCGAGCAAATAGATTACTCGAGTTCTCCGCCACTCATCCAGAATAATCATGACAACACACTTACTACCCAACCAACATTCCACAAACAACACATAGATGCTCAGAACAAGTTGCAACATCATCACTTAACCTTATTTTTTCTTTTTCTCTTTTTTATTTTTATTTTTATTTGGAGAGTAACTTTTTCCCAACAAGATTGAATCAAAAGGACAACATTCTGTAGGTGTGAACATTGGAGGTCATCCAAGTTTCCTACAGTAGTTTCCCAATGTTCATTACCTGTCAAAATGAATCGACTAGTAAGAGGAGCAGAATCCATTCGATTCTTCTTGTGAACTCTCAAAGTTTTTCTTTTTTTTTTTGTCTTTTTGTTTTTTTAAATGGTCAAGAAAACAAAATGCAACTCAATGTCCACCATATTCAGAAATGCCACCAATCACCCAATCATCACACAAATCAGTCAACAGGCTGACAAGAAAAGGTTTTAAGCTCAAACGGGCTACTAGTGGAATAATAAATAGGACCAAAGAACAAGGCAGTAGTGAGCTATTCAAACAAAACGCCCCAATCACATTCGCAATTTCAAACTCTAATAGATTCCTTTCAAACAAACTCAAGGCAAGTTCTAATCATTCAAGAATATGACCAATATCTCACAAGAAAGAAAGAGTAAGGATCAAAACCTCACAAGGTAAATAAATGTCACTCAAAGCAATCAAGCAATATCGAGGCAATGATCAACACAATCGTCATCACAACTTCCCAATTTCATCAAATATCCATCAACGAATCATATAATTCACCAATACCATGCTCAACAACACAAAAACCTAAACTAGCTCGGCCCACCACATAAGCATGCAAAATCCAAATAGACTCCCCCACACTTAAAATGAGGCAATGACCTCATTGCTTCAACTCAAAATAGAAAGTCAAATGCAAGGACAAAACAATTTCACATAATGAACCAAACTAGCAGCTAACACAAGACACAAACTCAAAAGAAAAGACAAGGGAAAAGACAAATAAAAAAAAAGATAGAAAGAAAAGGGAAAAAGGGTGTGCAAACCGAAGTGTATCGAGGAGAGTAATCATTCACGTGCAAGCCATTCGTCTATGCTCAGCCTAAAACCTCGAAACTCTTCATTCAACTAAATTCTCCTGCCCGAGCTCGCCATTAGGACCTGCCAACAAAAACACAGAAACTCCAAACTCCAATTATTAAAATATAAAATAAAAAGCAAAAAGATAATAACTAAGAAAGCAGTAAATCTCTTGGGTTGCCTCCCAAGAAGCGCTTGTTTAACGTCATTAGCTTGACGAAACCTGTGTGGAGCTCAGCCAGGGTCCAGAAAGAAGTGGCGATCGTGCCACGCCTTCGTATTTTCCAGAAGTGGAAGCATGGGAAGGGTGGCAAGAAGGCGAGCATGATGGATCCGGGTGGCTGTGTTCTGGAGGAACCTGATGTGGGCACGAGCAATCCCCAGTAATTGACATAGAGCTTTTCCCACCCGAGCTCTATCATCAATCTCAGGAATAACGAGCAAATCTGTGGAGCAAGTCGAGCTAACTCTGGCCCACTTGGTAGCACAGTGTGATGGCTCCGAAGGTGAATGCTCCATCTCGGTGGCAGGAAGAGAAACTCGAGAGATGGTGACATGATCAAGTCCATGAATCTCCTCCTCCGAAACATCGTCGTCCCACTGAAGAGCATCATCTTCCTCTTCGGTCTCACACATGTGCATCGGAAAATACGTTTGGGCACCAACCATAAGATGGGAGTTGTCAGCTTTTGACTCAATAGAGTCGAGACGTGCTGTCAGATTTTCCATTTGAGCGCTCAATCGAGCACACTCGAGCTCAATCTCCCCTTCCCAGTTTGCTTGGGCCATCATGCGATCGAGGATGAGATCAAGTTTGGCGTTGAATCCCGAAGAGTTGTCCTCGAGCTCATAGAAAGGTACGGGCTGTGGACGTGGGTCCACAACCATGGACTCTATAGAGTCGATACGCCTTGCTAGACTCTCCAATTGCTCGCTCAAATGGGCACATCCGAGCTCAATCTTCTCCTCTTGTTTTGCTTGGGCCATCAATCGATCTAAGATGAGATCGAGTTTGGCATTGTATGCGGCCTCTTCTTCTCGAGCTGATTTGGACTCTATGAAATCAAGAATCTGGTTGAGCTTCTCGTTAAACTTGTGGGACTCATAAGTTTGCTCAACCGGAAAATGGTGCCAGCACTGCTCGGAAGAGTACGGATAAGATTGGGTGTGGTACTCAGCGGGATAGCTCGGCTCATTGCTCCAAGAGGGGTAGTGCAGGGAGGAGTACACGTGATTAAAGTTCATATCTCCTGCACACCAAAACAGAACAACCACACGTATCCACGAAAAGAGAGAAACAAAGAAAACAAATACAAAACAAAGAAAATGAAACAAAGATGCACAAAAGAAAGAACGAAAACACGATAATTACAAACTAAAGAGAAACACGAAAAATAAAATCAATACCAAAATAAATATCCTACTTGCCTTCCCCGGCAACGGCGCCAAATTTGTTGTGTACAAATTGTTATATTTTACCGAGTACCGAATCAAAGATTCGTTTCCCGGGTCGATCTCTCGAGGAAGGCGGTTCGGAATTTAGCTTTGGTAATGATAACACATAAGAAGAAAACAAAATCCTAAACACTCTAATCACAAAAGGGGTTTGAATAATTACTGTCTAAAAAACAATAAAGAGCAATAATCTACCTAAAAATGTGGATGGAACAAAGATGGAGAAACTAGGGAATCGGGGATAATTAATTCAAGTTCTAGCAAAGCCGGGCAATTAATCGTTCGGTTCGAGATTGACACTCTCGCTTAAACATCTAGAGGTTCGCTCCCAATAACTCTTCGTAACAAGGGATTGAACATAGACCAACAAACTCGAGCATACAACACAAGCCAATTATCCCAATCCCAATAACTTTTCGTAACAAGGGACGGGACATCGACAAGCACGTATTTCAATCTCAACCCATAGATTACTCAGTTACGAAATAATCTATCTCATGCAAGCCTAGGTCTACGACTTCTCCCCTTTCGGTTCTGAAAGTCGCTAATTAACTAGAAGGTGATTAATCAACTAATCATATAGAACTGACAAACCCTAACTCAACAAATTAACATTCAATTGTTTCCAATCGCAAGATCAAAGTGTCACTCTTCGATTATATCAATCAATCAAGCAAGATTACATCAATTCCTAATCAGATTAACTCACATAAGCATGAACAATTCAAGCCCGACAAATACACGTGAAACATGAACGATCATCCCCTATCCCTAACAATAAGATTTAGCTAAGTAACATGAATTCAACACAAGAAAGCATTTCACCCCAAATAATCATTCTCATGAATTAAACGTGATGAAAAATACTTACAATCAATCCAATCCGAAAGTTGAATCCAAAATACAAGCTTAATCCCTAAAATGGAAAAGAAAGAAAAATGGAGAAGAAAGATGGAGAAGAGGAGAAGAGAAGAAGAAGAAGAAGGAAAATGAAGGGGGGAGGCGATTTTCGGACCTAGGGTTCCTCCCCCTTCAAGTTGGAAGTGAAAGAATGGAGAAGAAAACGAGTTTTTGGGGTTTTTAAATCATTCTCGGACTTGCAGGGGGCCTTAGCGCCGCTAAGGGGGGTTAGCGCCGCTAAGGTGCCTTAGCCGTTCGAGCCAGTAACGTGTAGCGCCGCTATCCTGTGTGCCTTAGCGCCGCTAAGGTGCCTTAGCGGCGCTAAGGTTCTGGGCAGCCTGCTGGACTTTGCTTTTCGGGCTCGTTTGGGCTCGTTTGAACTCGGAATTGAGTTCCGTTTTTTCCTATGCGTAGCTAACGAACCCCTCTATCTAACTATGTAATCTCAGCACATATTTTCCTGAAAACTTGTCCTCCCAAAGCTTCCGACCTGCACACAAAAAATGAAAGAAAAGACGAAGAAAACCGGAAAAACACAGAAATACTCACAAAGACGCGAAACACGAAATAAACGACAAAACGATTCTAAAACCACACAAGTGACTCAAAATGGGAGAAAAAGAACGAGAAAATAGACACGAAAAACGTAACAAAAATGGGACAAACAATGGCAGCGTCGGCAAGTGGTGCAGGCTGGTGGTCTTGTTGGATCCTGCGGTGACGGTTGCTCTGCCCAAGCTTGGTTTCTTTGTCGGCGGTTCCTCCTCTCGTCACGACCTCTCCACTTCCTCTTGTTATTCTTGGCCTGCTGAGCTGTTGGCTGCGACATCGGCTGTGGTGCGGGTTGTTGGCTCTGGGATACAGCGATCTGCTGCACTCAACGGATAGTCTCGGCCATCGTCATGGTGCCGTGGTTCGTTACCATGTGCCTGATCTCCTCTTGGACGCCATTGCCTTCGAACTTGTGAAGCCACTCGTCCACTACGGAGGGTCCCATCTGATCTGGGTAAACTGGCGGGTGGAAGCTCCGAGAATGCATCACTGAATGGGTCCAGGCCAATCCTGGCATAGGTTGACTCTGGCTGCCTGTTTGTTGGTGACTGTGATCTGCCATTTCTGGCACAAATTTAGACGGTTAGAACTTACTCAAACTTAATTCTAAGGTTCATAACTCGGTCTTGTGGCTCTTATATGCCGACAACGGTTATCATCTATACGTATTAGAAGGTACTTTTTCCCAAAGCTTAAATCGAGACTACTTCTAGAGTTATATCTCACTTAACAAGGTTGTTCATTCGGTTAAAACATAATCAAACCGATTGAATTTTCGATTAATCAAAAATTGATTTATCCATTATAAGAATCGAAAACTGAATCAAAATTTATGGTTCGATTCGAGTTTTAACCGAACATTCAATGGTCGGTTCGGTTCGACTTAGTTATCAATATAAATAATTAATTTTTTCAACAAATTCTGAATTTTTAACTGACCAAAATATTTGATTTTTTTATCACCTTGATCACATATTTCGAGCGAGGACAGGAGCAGAGCTAACCCTGAAACACAAATGATTATATTCCATTGCGGCAATTAATCGTAAATCCGCAATGGATCGAGTCTTAAAAGCTGCGCGCGCTTCCGGTTCTCTTAACCTCTCCAATCGATCTCTCAGGCATCTCCTCCAAATTCATATTGTCTTTCATTTTTATCAGGCTGCATTGCTGAATGCGGGTGGTGTTGACATTTTTTCTGTATTGTTAATGCTGACTACAGAGAAGTGCCTGATGAGGTTTACAAAAGTTTGGATGCGGTTGGTGGGGATGAGAAGTGGTGGGAGGTAATTATCGATGTATTCTCTACATTTTCGTTCGGAGCCTTATGACAAATATGTTCACGATCTGTATGCCCGTGCGAGTGCAATTTAATTGTCTCCTTATGCATTGGCAGGCTGTGGAGCTGCAGAAGCTGATTCTTGCTCATAATGAAATTGAATCCCTCAAGGAAGATTTGAAAAACTTGTCTTTACTAAGCGTTCTGAATGTTAGTCACAACAAACTTTCACACCTCCCAGCAGCTATTGGAGAGTATGAATCTTTAACCTCTTACCTTAACAACAAGCTCAAATTAGTTTTTATNAAAAAAAAAAAAAAAAAAAAACAAAGGAAAAGATCTGAAGAATGCTTGATTTATCTCAATTTGCAGGCTGCACATGCTTAAATCATTAGATGTGTCATCTAATTTGCTAAAGGAAATTCCCGACGAAATTGGAACGGCAGCTTCCCTTGTGAAGTATGTGATATAAGTGTGTTTTCATGTGTAAAATGCTAATGCTCTATTTCGTTTGAAATTCAAGGATTCTTAATGAGGAAAACGAAAGTGCAAGAGTGAATATTAATTCAGGCGTAATAAGTTCAAAAACTCAATGTCGATCAATTTCCAAGAAAAGGAGAAAAATCAACAGGGATGAGGGAGGTGATGGATGTCTTGCATATAGGGAAAGGAGAGAATCATCCTTTCACTGAAATATTCTGGCTAGCATATTTCAATTTCATGTCTTTTACTCACAAAAGACTTATGTCAAAAGGGTCCAACGATGTGAACATCTCCTAATGATTGTTTAACACACTTCATTTACCAGCTGAGATGCCATGTTGATCTGCCTTTTTAGGTAGAAGATGTTGACGGGTTTATGTTGGCTGCAGGTTTGATTGTTCGAATAATCAACTTAGCTCTCTCCCTGTTTCGCTTGGCCATTGCATAAATCTGGCCGAACTAAAGGTAAATCACTAAATGGTGCATGCTTTTGCGGTTGATTGTCCCTGATATGTCTTTTTTACCCTGATTTTGGTTGTTGAATATGATTATAACTTTGTAATTATTTGCCGTAATTCATAGTAGCTGAATAGCATTTTAACTTTGTAATCTCATTCGTAGTGCAAGAATGAGATTCTGTCGTTCACTTCTCCTTATATGTCCAAAAAATGAGATATGTAATCCTACAAAATGTTAAGCAAGTTTATGCCAGTGATGTCCTCTAGATTCATAAAATGTTCACTGACACAACAGATTTTCTTTTGATAGTTACATAATATTACCAAAGGTACCTTTTGCCAGTACATTTGTAACCAACGTCTTACTCCTATTTCAAATATGGAATCTTGCTGTTCACTTTCCCAATTCATCCATTCCTGAATTAGTTCCAAAGGCTCTATCCCATAAAAATAAATAATAATGATAATGTGACGACATTATTCAATACCTACTGCTTTTGATGGCTCCATATTCATTTTCTCTATTCTTAGATGTTAACATTAATCATTTGGATGAACATAGAAGTGGATACCAGGTTTGGCAATTTTTTTCCCTTAAAGTGTTCAATATCAGAGAAGCATTTAATGTGGAAGCATCACAGTTATAGCACCTATTAGCTGCCTTATTGTGATCATATTACTATCAACTCTTTGTTTCTCTCCTTATTCGGTTATTCGTTTT